ATCCCGCACTCGTCCCCACCGCCTCTACATCCCGCACTCGCCCCCACCGCCCCCACATCCCTCGCTCACCCGTCCTCCCACGGCTCTCCCGCAGCCTCCTCAGCCACCAGGATGTCGTATTCTTCCGCCGCGTACTTCTCCCAGTCCGAGAGCTCTGGGCCGTCGCTGTCGCTCTCCTGGAGAACGCATACATGTCACGTGGCGCAGGCGGCGTGGCCGAGGCGAGCCCGTGTGCCCCACGACACTCACCCTGAGCAGGCAGACCTGCTCTTTCTGCTCGTGGTCCAGGTACTTCTCGATGTTGAAGAACGTGTCGAAGAAGACGTTGGCGAGCTTGCACTGCTTCAGGTCGCGCAGCGTGATCTTCCCTGCAAGGCAGCAGAGCGTGTGAAGGACACACGGCTTTCAGAGCTGTGCACGTACGTGTGGTGGCGTGCGGCAGTAACATGGCGGCAGGATGCTACGTGCTTGGACGCCGCCTGACTTGTACAAAAAGGGACACAGAGGCGGTTCTGGGCGTGGACTGGAGCGCACACGGCCTCAGGCCTGGGGCCCATGTGCCTGGAGAACGAGCGTCGACAGGACACAGCTCGGGACAGAGGGAGGCGCCGGCCACTAGGGGGCGTCCGTGGACTTGAAATAACAGGTGCTGATGTGGCTGGGGAAAGTGCCGGAACACACACAGGGAAAATCCACAGCTCGGGACAAGAGGCGGCCCCTGTCCCCGTCTCAGAACGAGTCCCAAAGTTAACCCCCAGACCCACATTGCAAAACACAAGAAACATAGAGCACAAAACTGAGATGGCGGAGTTCGGGGAGGGTCCCCCGTCCCTGCAGGGACTGAGTTCGGGGAGGGTCCCCTGTCCCTGCGAGGACCGAGTTCAGGGAGGGTCCCCCCTGGTCCCTGCGGGGACTGAGTTCAGGGAGGGTCCCCTGTCCCTGTGAGAACCAAGTTCGGGGAGGGTCCTCCCTGGTCCCTGCAGGGACTGAGTTCGGGGAGGGTCCCCTGTCCCTGCGAGAACCGAGTTCAGGGAGGGTCCCCCCTGGTCTCCGCGGGGACTGAGTTCAGGGAGGGTCCCCCGTCCCTGCGGGGACCGAGTGCAGGGAGGGTCCCCCCTGGTCCCCGCGAGGACCGAGTGCAGGGAGGGTCCCCCTGGTCCCCGCGAGGACCGAGCTCACGGAGGGTCCCCTGTCCCCGCGAGGACCGAGTTCAGGGAGGGTCCCCCCCATCCCTCTGGCCTGAGAGGGACTCGGGGAACACACGGGGCCGGGGATCCCTGCGCCGCGTCAACACAAAGTCCGTGACAGTCCCTGAGTGGCAGCGACGTCCTCGCAGTGGGAGGTCCCCGAGTGAGAGCAGGCCGTGTCCTGGTGCTGCGTCCTCACGAGCCCAGCGGGGACGGCCCTCCCTCCCCGCAGGCCCCTCCCACGGCGCTGTCCCCTCCCCGGTGGCACCTTCGCTCCGGGGCTTGACCAGGTCCAGCATCTGGCACAGGCAGTCCTGGAAGGGCAGGGCCTCGATGGCCATGCTGTCCAGGCGCCGGCACTGCTCCTCGTAGAAGTACTCCAGCTCGAACATGGACAGCGCCCCGTCCCCGTCCAGGTCCATGCAGCGGAACCAGTACTCGATGCTGCGGTCACATGGCTCCGTCAGCCCGGAGTGGGGACGGCCCTGCCCCACGGGGACCCGCTGGGGACAGCCCCTGCCCGTTCCCCTCCGCAGGGCAGCCCCGCCGGGCGTCACGGACGCGGCCTGTGACCCTTCCACCGAATACACACCTGGTCGGGGTCTTTTTGTCTTCTTCAGAGATCAAAAACCAGACAAAGTCGGCGTAGCTTATTTTTCCTTCTTTCTGTACTTTTCTGCCTCTGGGTTTGGGGCCGGGATGGAGAGACAAAGACGCCCGTGAGGGGAGGGGCAGGAAGGGTGTGGTCCCTGCCCACGCGCTGGCCAGAGGAGCCTCACGGGTCCCCGCCCTCCGGAGCTGTGTGGCCAGGGAGGGGCTCCCGGGCCCCGGTGGGGTCAGAAGTGACCACGTCGTCACGGCCACCTAAAGGCCTCAGATGCTGCCCCTGAGTCGCACTGACGCCCAGGGCCTGACAGGGGCCTCTGATGGGGCCTGTGCTGTCCCCTCCCTGGGGGCCACACCTGATGGGGACAGATGTCCCATCATTTAGCACCTCGTGTGACAGAGCTCAGCCATCCCTCCCTGGGGACCTCACGTGACAGAGCCATCCCAGTCCCAGATCAGCAAGTTCACGGTGGCGGGAATGAGGAGGTCTGGGCTCTCGCCCGGGCGCTCAGCGGACTTCGGGAGGCAGAGGACGGAGACCGAGGCGCCCGGCCGTACGTACCGCGTCACCGCTCCCGAGAAGATCCTGTCGATCATCTTGGCAGAAATGGCTGCGAGGAGAGGTGGGCTCGTGAGCGGGGACACGGCGGCTCCTGCCGACACACGGCCTCGGAGCAGAGCCCGGGACGGCCGGGTCTGACGTGCTCGGGGGTCCCTGGGACCCGCTGTCCAGACAGGGCCCCCCCGCCCTGCGTGTTCACAGCCTTTCCCGCTGCCGGGGCCAAACCCCAGGTCGGACCCAGAGTGGAAGCTGCCGGGGGCTCCGGGTCAGGTTCGTGAAGAGCAGAACAAACGCGCACCCACATCTCAGACGCTACTCAGCCCCACACGCCTCACTCAGCCCCACATGCCCCCCCCCCCCCGACTACATTGACGGGAACAGACGCGTCTCAACCAGAACTCGACTGAAATGAAGTCAAAGGCACCGTCTGGGGCAGCGCAGGTCCCCACGGCGCAGGGACGCGGACCACGGAGCCGAAACCACAGGGTTCCTTGTCCCACCTCCTGCGGGCTGGAACCTGAGGTCAAGGCGTCTCCTGGGTGTGTGGACGCCGTCTTCTCCCTGTGTCCTCACGGGGTCGTCCCTCTGTGCGTGTCTGTGTCCTCATCCCCTCTGCTTATAAGGACACCAGTCCTGCTGGATCAGGGCCCAGCCTAGTGCCTCAGTTTACCTTACTCAGCTCTGTAAAGACCCGTCTCCAAACACAGCCACAGTCTGAGTCCCGGGGGTCAGGGTTCAACGTATGGATTTGGGGGGACACAGTTCTGCCTGTGGTAAACACTATACCCGTGAGATGGGGAGATGAAGACAGTCTGTCCCCCACCCCTGACTCATCCTGCCTTGGTGAAGTCTCTGCCGATGAGAAATGACTCGAAGCTGTTGTGGCCTGAACTGTGCCCCCCAAAAACACATGTCGTGAGCCCTGGTACCTGGAAACAGAACCTTATTTGGAAATACAGTCTCTGTAGAGGTAGTTAATGAAGAGTCTTGAGAAGAGACCATCCTGGATTAGGAGGTCCCTAAACCCAGTGACAGTGTCCTCCTAAGAGACAGCAGAGGAGACACAGACGCAGAGGAGAAGCCACGTGGAGACGGAGGCAGAGACTGGAGTGATGCGGCCACAAGCCCAGGGACGCCTGGAGCCCCCAGGAGCCAGAAGAGGCAGGAAGGAGCCTCCCCTGGAGCCTGCGGAGGGAGTGCGGCCCCGAGACACCCGCGTCTCAGACTCCTGGACTCGGAGGGGATGAATTCTTGTGGGTCAAGCCCCCAGGTTTGTGCTAGTTTGTTCCGGAAGCCGCAGTGGAAGCAGCAGGGCTGACTCAGACCGCCCTAGCGCAACAACATTTGGAAACAAGAACACGTCAAAGGAAACACAACCTCACGCCACAGAGCCTGCTCTGAGCCACGTGTTCTCTGTCTCAGCGTCACGGGGACGACCCCTCTGGGTTTCTCGGGGTAAAGAAGGAAAGCGGCCCGTCAAAGCAGCCTAATCGGCAATCCAAGTGGATTGTTCCAGAAGCCTCTCGCTGTGCTCTGCCCTGTCCTGGCGGCCAAGACTCTGGTCCCCGCAATGACCAGTGTCCTGGGGACACATGGGTCCTAGAGGCCACCACCGGCTCAGGCCACGCTCTGACAAACAGCCCCACATGTCGCCCTGACGTCAGACCGCCAGTGGACGCGACAGGAGCTCGCAGATGTGAAGCTGGAGCCGGTGTGGGGGATTCACGGAGATGCAGCCCCGATTCGGGGGTCCCAGCTCTATCCGCGCTGCGCTCAGCCCCCCATGGCTGTGCACGTCTCGCTGACCGTAAACCACGGGGGCAGCGTGCACTGCGGGGCAGACCGAGGAGAGCCGCGCCTGTCCGAGTGTCCACACACTGCGCCCACGGGACGGCCACTCGGGGACGCTTGTCCCACGGCCAGTCCCGGAGAGATGCAGACGGAGCCTGTGATCAGGGAACCCCACGGCCAAGGCCGGGCACGCCCAGGAGAGCTTAGAAAGACTCTCGTGAACGTGGTAGTTTGAAAAACGAAACATGCAGATTAAAGGGAATCCTCGGGAAAAGCAAAAACCGAGACGCGCGTTGAAATTTTAGTTGATTTCGCAAACCTCGAAGTTGACCACTCACAAAGGGAGGAGGTGACTCTCTTTCGTTAAAAAAGTGAAAAACACCATTCACGCTGCCCTGAACTGCTATCACCACGCCAGCCGGCGTCTCGGGGCTGGGATGCTGAGAGCTTGCCACGGCCTCTGGGCTGGGAACGAGAACCTTCCGGGAAGGTGTCTCCACACCAGCGTCCTAACGATGAAATTCCTGTGCCCAACTGGGTCCCAGGCTGGGTTTCGGGGCCCACGGCCGGCGCTGACCCTCACCCCACCTCGCAGAGGGCCCCACACATATGCGTGGTGTCCAGACACGGACACGGGCCTCGCCCACACACACACACACACACACACACACGTGGTGCCTGGATACAGACACGGGCGTCGCCCACACACATGTGCTCAGACACAAACATGGGCCTTGCCCACACACACGTGCCCAGACAGGGACACGGGCCTCGCCCACACACACACACGTGGTGCTCGGATACAGACACGGGCGTCGCCCCCACACACGCAGTGCCTAGACGCAGACACAGGGCAGGGAAGGGGAGGAGAAGGCTCAGGGCAAAGAACCCCGCGGAGGGCCGGAGGACGACGCGCGCCGCATCCGTGAGCCCCGGGTGCGTGCTCACCGTGGTCGCGTGCTCACCGTGGTCGTTGTGCCGCGCCAGGTCCTGCGCGTCGATTAGCAGGTCATGGTCCGTGTCCAGCTCCCAGAACTTGCAGTAGATGACGTAGAAGTGCTCGTAGGAGAAGTACTCGGTCAGCTGGTTGATGTCCGCCTCCTCCTCCAGCAGGGCCACGTTCTGCGGGGGGGGGGCCGAGGACGGGGCGTGACGGACGGGCCTCCGTGGTGGAGGGCGCCCGAGCCCGGTGTCGCCATGCGCAGCGGCCCGGCCGTGGCAGCTCGGGGTGGATCAGGAAGGGCCGGCTCCCACGTCAGGCAGCGTCCGGCTCCCACGTGGGCAGGTGCCGTCCGATGCCACTGCGCGCTCACAGTTTGGGGTGTCAGGGGGACACGCCCGGGGTCCCGCGAGGAGGGAGGCTGCCGCCTGCCCCGGCCACCCACCTGCAGGAAGGTGCTCCTCCGCAGCTCCGCGCAGGTGATCCTCCCCGACCAGGACCTGTTGACCGTGTAGAATATCCTCTGGATGACCTGCGGGAGGGGTGTCAGCCGTGGGGCGGGGCGGCGGGCGGGCGCAGGCCCCACTGCAGGACCCTGACGCGACAGAGCACACCCCCATCGCGGGAACGGCCACCGGGGAGGCAGGGTGGGAAGATGGAGACACGGCGGGGCAGCCACGCAGCAGCCACGCCAAGGCTGACGGGACGGGACGGAGGCCTCGCCTCGGGGCTGCGGGGAGGGTCCGAGTGGGCCAAGCTGTGGGAGAGGCTCCCAGGCCTCGGGGTGTCCTGACCGCACGGCGCTCAGTGCAGGTCTCGGTGACGCTCCCACACTCCGCACAGCGGGGACAGGAGCCCGGGACAGGAGGGAGCCCACGCTGGGCTGGGGCCTCCTTCACACCCTGCCCTGGACACTGGCCCAGCTTGTAAGTTCACCTCCGCGGGGAGAGGACGGGCCAGGGGCCCTCGTGACCCCACAGACGCAGGCCCGGCCGGGCCACAGGACCCTGTGCGAGGTGCTGGGCAGGTCGTCACCTTCCGTCCCAAGACATCACCTCCCTGTCTTAGGTTATCACCTCCCCCCTCCCGGGATGTCACCAATGTATGGCCCTAAGACGACGCCTGCCCTGTCCTCGCTGAAGGCCACCTGCCCTGTCCCCATCCCGCTGTCACTGGCCCCATCTTCCCGTCACTGCGTAACCGGCCTCACTGCAGCCGGCCGCCTGGCCCGGCCTCTCCCCACACGGCAAGTTCCAAGTCGGGGAACTGACCACAGCAGGGCTTCAAAGGAGGCCCCACCCCAGCGTGGGCTCGCTCCTGTCCCACGCTCCTGTCCCTGCTGTGTGCAGCGCAGTGTGTCACCGAGACCTGCGCTGAGCCCTGCACGGTCAGGACACCCGAGGCGCGGGGCACAGTGACATCACAACCCTTCCCCCACCCCCGCCGCCACTCGCACAGCGCAAACAGCACTGAGGACGGGGTTGAGGAATCCACCCCCTCCACTGAAGTCCGGCCACGGTTCACTCTGCAAATCACAGGGCAGCTGTGCTCCCGCCCACCTCAGAGTCCTCCCTCCCCACAGGGCGGCCGTGCTCCCGCCCACCTCAGTGAGTCCTCCCTCCCCAC